ATCCCAGCACTTTGGGAGACCGAGGTGAGCAGATCATTTGGGCCCAGGTGTTTGAGACCAGCCTGATCAACATAGCAAGACCCCATCTCTCAAAAAAAAAAAAAAAAAAAAAAAAATTAGTGGAGTGTGGTGGCAAGCGCCTGTAATCCCAGCTATTTGGAAGGCTGAGGCATGAAAAACACTTGAACCCAGGAGGTAGAGGTCACAGTGAGCCGAGATTGCACCACTGCACTCCAGCTTGAGCAACAGAGTGAGACTCAGAAAAAAAAAAAAGGTAATAACAAATGTTGCAAAGTTCAGTGGCGAGATATAGCTCGCTGCAACCTTCTACCCAATGGGTTCAAGCAATCCTTCCACCTTAGCCTCCCAAGTAGCTGGGACTACAGGCTTGCAACACCACGCCCAACTAATTGTTGTTGTTTGTTTGTTTGTTTGTTTTGTAGAGATGGGGTCTCACTGTATTGCCCAGGCTGGTCTGGGCTAGCAACTTGAGAAACTGGAAATCTAGATGTCTGCATGTGGAGAAGCCAAGAAGCACACTATCATACCTCAATAAAGTTGTTATTTTTTTAATTTTTATTTATTTATTTATTTTGAGACAGAGTCTCACTCTGTTGCCCAGGCTGCAGTGCAGCAGTGCAATCTCAGCTCACTGCAACCTCTGCCTCCTAGGTTCAAGCGATTCTCGTGCCTCAGCCTCCCGAGTAGCTAGTATTACAGGCACCCGCCACCACGCCTGGCTAATTTTTGTATTTTTAGTAGAGATGGGGTTTCACCATGTTGGCCGGGCTGGTCTCAAACTCCTGACCTCAGGTGCCTCAGCCTCCCAAAGTGCTGGGATTAGAGGCATAAGCCACCACGCCCAGCCTAAATTTTTTTTTTTTTTAAAGAAAAATAAGAAAAAAAGGAGCAAGCTCCTTTTTACTGCAGAACCCTGGACGGACAGGAAGCATCAGATAACCTCTAAAAATGGAGTTGAATTTAGAGCTTGAAAGAGTTTGAAAGGCTGTATAGGATTCAGTAGATCCCTTCATTTGTTCCTTCCCTTTGTACAACCATCTCCCCTTCCCAGCAAAAGACTGGAGGTTTACTCTTGAGAGATGATGAGCCCAAGAGACTCTGAACTGGGTGGGAGAGGCAAACTGAAAAATAGGAGGTATAAGTTGAAGTCTGCATCCTCAACAATGAGGCCTCCACCCCTTCCACTCAGGTGTCAGAGTCTTGGCAACAGGTTTAGACACCCCCATAGGACTACTGTGAGGATTAAATGAGTTAATACCTGTAACATGTTCAGAATTGTGCTTGGTAAATAGGAAATGTTTAATGTCATTATTATTATTATTTTTGAGATGGAGTTTCGCTCTTGTTGCCCAGGCTGGAGTGCAATGTCACAATCTCGGCTTACCACAACTTCTGCCTCCCTGGTTCAAGTGATTTTCCTGCCTCAGCCTCTGGAGTAGCTGGGATTACAGGTGCCTGCAACCACACCCGGCTAATTTTTGTATTTTTAGTAGAGATGGGGTTTCTCCATGTTGATCAGGCTGGTCTCAAACTGCCAGCTTCAGGTGATCCACCTGCC